AGGAGGACTTACTCTTGGAATGATCCCCCATAGCACCCAGAAAAGGATAATGAAAAATAATGTCCACCATGCAGAAGGAGGCGTGCGCCAAGCGTGCGGCCCGGGCACAGCACGAGGGTCGCGCGCCCCGCCCGGCTCTTTGCTAACTAATTCCGGCCCCGCGGACTTGCAGGACCGACCGCACCGGCCCGCACGCAGCATGACGTCAGCACGCAGTCGCCGGGCCAGGGGCGGGACCTGCGGCGTCACCAGGCTCCCCAGAACAGGGGTGCGGGGGAGGTGATGGGGACCCGCGGCTGGTGGGCGGGCGGGCTGGATAGAAGGCGGGGGTGACGCGGGATTGGCTGCGAGGGACGGGGCAAGCCTGATTGGCCGGAGTGAACAATGGAGTGCAGCCCCCTCCCCGAAATCTGCGCGGAGCCTCGGGCCTGTCCAGTGTTGGCGCTGGACCCCGCGTCCGCGCTGCCTTGTGGACTTGCGGGGCGGCCCCCAGACGCGCCGGAGCGAGGAGCTGGATGCCCGGGGAGTGGAGGGGACCTCGCCTTTCAAAGCTCCCCTTTCATAAATACAAAAACGAAAAATCCACTCTCTGCACGAGAGCTGGGGAACTGGTCTGCTTGGACATGACCATCACCACCCAGCCGGCCACCTTTCTCCTCTCGCATGCCTTTGTTCTCAGGGTCCCAGCTGGAGACAGAGGGTAGGAAACGACGACCACCGGGGTTGGGACAAACTTCTCAGACTGACTGACTCACACCCGCCGCCTGGGGAAACCTCCAAACTGGAGCGCTACGTGGGAAGCGCCCAGCCCGGGGCCATCTCCGAAGATGCACCCGGATCCTGCCCCGAGCTTTGACGTGCCTTTTTTTCGGGGGGAGGGCGCGCGTACGTTGATACAGATTCCTCTCATCCTTTCCCCACCCGAATAGCACAGCTCCTAAACACCAGAATAAAACGATTTCTATCAACTCTTCGGTTTCGTGTCACAAACCAACTGCAAAGCAAATAATCAGAAACTAACGTGGCGCGTGGGGTGATTTACCATCTGCGGCGGCTGCTCCGTCAAAACCGCAACTTCTGAGCAGAGTCCAGGCGTTTCTTTCTTTCAAAGAAATCGCTGTGGGTTTTGTTTGAAAGGGTTCGAAAACTGGCCCATGAATTATAAATAACATTTATCCATAAGACCGCGGTGACTGTTGTTGTTTTCCCATTAAAAGGGGCACCAAGGACGTGGTGCGTGCCGGGATGGGGCGCGGTGAGCGCCTGGGGAGACAATGTCTCCACCGGAGCCCAGACCCGGGCCCAGGTCTCCCCGGGTGTCTCGGCCCCTCTGCTGAAAACCGAAGGCTGGTTGGCCTCAAGCTCTGGGCTGCGCGCCCAGAAGGGGCGCAGCCAGGGGCGCAGGGAAAGGCAGTGCTGGGAGCCGGGCCGGCCCGGATGCGCACTAAGCCTTTGGCTCTGTGAGGACCCACCGCACAGCCAGTGTGCACTCACCCTCCCCGCGCTGTGCCCAGCGCTTCACGCCCGCAGTCCCGTCGTCTCTCCAGGCTTTTGACCACAGCCCCGGTGTTTGGAACCCGCAGTCTTCACGCGGGTCCAGTTCCTCGGCCCAGCAGCGTCCCAGCGCTGCGCCAACAGGCGGTTTCTTGCGTCTTAGGCCGCTAGCGCTCTCCTTGAAGGTGTTTGCGGCAAGTCTGGGGGAGGGAGAATGCTGCGTTTGAACGGATGTGTCTATGTAAAACAACAAAAGAAAAAAGAAGAAGAAAGAAAAGAAAAACGGGGGTTGAGGAGCAAGGGGCGGGCATCTGTGCGGGTGTCTCCGCCAGGCCACTCTGTGACCTCAGGCATCTAGCGTCTCACGTCTGTTCCTCAGTGTCCTCGTCTGTAAAATGGGGGCTCAAAATAATAGTTAACCTTGGCTACTGTAGGAGTTAAATTGTTCTCTGGACAAGGCTTAGAGCAACACCTGGCACATAGCGACCGCACCATCAGCGTTAACTGTGAGACGTGCCATCGTGGCTGTAGCCTGTTTCAAGTTTACGTTGGGTGCTTGTCTGCTGTGTGTGGTGCCTGCCTGTGTGTGCCTGGGGTGCAGGCTCACACATGCGCACGCCCACAGGCCTGCCATCCCCACTGCCTGCCACTGGTTCTTACCCACTCGAGACCTTCACCTGAACGGAGGTGTTCTGTCTCCCATTTTTCATGGAATCGCATATGTGGGGAGGAACACTGGGTGGTCACTGCCCTTATCCTCACAACGGTGCTAGGAAGGAGTACTATTGTTAGAATCGTCCCTGGGTCACAGGTGAGGAAACTTAGGCTTGGAGAGGTTAGGTACTGTGAGGAGCCAGGATCTGAACCGGAGCCTGCCAGTGGAATCACTATGCCTCTGGCTGCCCCACGCATGCAGAGGCTGTTGCACTAATCCTCACCAAGAGTAACAGAAAGGAAATGGAGGCCCCTGGCCTGTTCCCCAGCTTGTAAGTGACAGAAATGGAGCTGGAAGCCGGGTCCCCGGACCCAGACCGGGGCTCTTCCCGCTGGAGTCCCTGGGGATGGCATAGCCGCAGGTCACCTGAGTACCAGGCCTGTGCTCTGACCCCTTTCATCCTTCTCCTGGCTCACCACCACAGGCCTCCACTCTGCTCCAGAAAGGGCCTGGGCGTTCACATCATCACCTGCCATAGGCTTCTGAGAGCTTGATTTTGGGGTGGGGGCCGGGCACCAAGTCTCAGAGAAAAGCAGCTAAAGCCTCCTGGGAAGAGGAAGAAATATGGCAAATCGGGGTCCGGCTCCAGGGCCCCTGAAGTCCAAGCCGCTGTCTCTCCAAGGTGCTCTTGCCTGCCCCAGTCTGACTCCCTGTGAGCAGACAGGGACCCAGTGGCACAGCAGGCCCCTCTGCCTGCCCCCTGAGCCCTAGCAGTCACGGAGCATTTGCTGCAGGCAGGCCGGCCGGGCTAAGCAGCGGCAGACGTCTCATAGAAATGTCATGGAATCTCCTGGAAAGCGGATTGCATGCAGGCCCATCCTCCGGCCCCCAGGGTGCCCACGCTGCTGAGGCATCCCAGAAATGAATCAATCAGTGACCTTCACGAGGTCATAATACCGCTCAGAGGTGTCAAGGAGGCTCACACCACTGTGCATGATAGTAGTTAGGGACTTGTGCTCTTGAGTCCAGATGCCAGGTGCCTTGTTCGCTCATTTGTTTGTCACTTTGTTTAGAGTGGACATGGGTCTAAGTCATTCTGTATTAGGAAACCCACAGTCTGCAGCACTCTTGTCCTTGGGGGATCAATAGGGTCCTTATACAAGGATGAGAAAAGGAACCCTTTTTTCTGTCTTTGGACACATGGGAGTCTTTGTTTCTTTTTAAACCCCACGTTGAAGGTAGCTGCCAGGATAACCCATCAGGCATGGATCTGAGGAGGGGAGGGGTCCTGGAAAGGCTGTGCCTGGTGCCTTCTGGGAAACTTGCATTTCTCCTGTGTTTCCAGAAGGGGGAACCCCAGCTGGCTCCTGTGGGCCTAGGACTGGTTCAGAGCAGTTAGGTGGCCCATCCAGTCCTCCCCCCAACTTCCTTGTTCCCCCCGCCCCGGCCCTGGTGTTCCTGCCTGGCTTCTGCCAGTCTGCAGCCTTTGGGACTTACACCTTCTTGGTGTCCAGTTTTCTTCTAGAACTATCCATCCCCTTGCTGAGATCTGGGCAATGGGGAAAATGAGAAACACAGGTGGAAAGGAAAGAGGGAGAGACAGCTCCAAAGGGAAGACAGCCGCCAAACCAGGGCTGGAGGGTTGCTTTGCAGAGAGGCCAGCCTCTTGCAAAAGGGCCGGGCTTCAGCTGGGGCCCTGGGTGGACAGGGTGCCCTTCACTGCAACAGGCAGCACGTAGGAGGGAGAGGAAGAGGATGGTAGGTGACAGCGACTCTCTGCTTGACCAATCTCTAGCCAGGCTCCTCTGTGCCCTCCTACTACTGATTAAAATCTGTCCTTGGCACTTTAGTGTCGGGCTTTGTTCACCGTTGACTTAGGGTCTGCACCGTGAAGAGGGCCGGGACACAGGAGGGACGCGAGTGGGGAGGCCCGAAAGGCTTCCTGGAGCCCATGGCGTCTTGTCTGAGCCCTGTAGGCTGAGTGTGATTCTTCTGGGCAGAAAAGGAGCAGGGAAGTCTCGCAGACAGCAAGAGGTGTGTTAGTCAAGCGCGTTTTGGGGAAACCTGAGCAGCCCGCAGAGGCTGGAGCAGGAATGAGTATGGGCAGTGGCACAAGCAAAGCCACAGAGATGGGAACCCCCCCATAGCCCCCCAAGGCAGGGCCACATGGCTGGATTGTCATGGAAGAGGCAGCAAGAACCAAAGACTGAAAGAACCAGGCAGTGGGAACTGCCTGGCTGAGGAGTTGTGAGGGAATTGTCTGGGCAAAGGGGACCGTATGTGACTCTCTTGTGCTGAAGAGATTCAGAGGGGACATGGCATGGGTGTGGCTGTGCTGTGGGCAGACAGACATGTGGGTGAGGACATGGAGGCGAGAGGACAGCAGTCAGGGTGAAGGAAGCTGGTGAGCATGTGGCCTTCGTTGCTGCTCCCTCTTCTGGAAGCAGGCAGGAAGGAGGGAGGTGGGTTTGGGGACCTGGGCACGGTGGTCAGTTGCTCTCAACCCCAAGTGACACGGCGTGAAGGGAAGAGCTTCTACTTGTAATGCTGAGGGAAAAGGAAGAGAATGCCACTCACTTGTCACTTTCTTGGTAAAAATGCCAAAAACTCCATCTGGGTTGAGGCAACAATCCTGCTTCATAAGCTGCGTCCTTCTGGGGTGGCCGTGACTCTGGTTTTGTCTGCTGTGCTCCAGTGCCAGGGTCAGTGACCGTGGGCGTGGGCCCAGAGCTGGCCCGACTTGTGGGGTCTCAGCAGTGTTGCCCTGGAACAGTATTTTTAGACTGCGGTGAAAGGAACTGTAAGATGACCGACTCCAGTTTGACTAGAATGTTAACGATGCCTATGTATTTATTGGGTTGTCGGAAAAGGCATGACACATTTTTGAAACGAAAAACAGAAAAAATACGTCATGACTTTTCCGACAACCCTATATTTATTTCCCCAGCAGGAAAACTGAATGTTGTCATAAGCTCTTCCATCCTGCACGGATGTGTGGGTGTGTTGTGGGTTTAGGGGGGCCAAT